TTTATTCGTTTTTATCATTGTCATCGTTTGTCGTTTTTTTTTTCGGATTTTTTTGTTTTCGGTTTTTTTTTGTGGCCGTGTAAAATCCACCGAACGTGACGCGTGAGGGGGTGGTCGGGGGGGAAGGCACACACACGTAGCGCAGAACAGTGTGGGAGAGTACCGGAGTAATCGCACGTGGCGCCAGACGATATTCGCGAATTTTCGTGCAGTCAATCCGAAGAAACGACGTGGAGACAGAAGAGAGGAACAGAAGAGATCAACAGAATTAAAAAATTGCGTTAATTGAGGTATATCAATTAATTAAGTCTTACTGACTACAGCTACGTAATATATGTATATATATGCGACTAACGTGAAGGACTGTATTGGAGGGATGCGGATACGTCTACGCTAATAAGAGATACGCTAAGAAGCTTCATTATTCCGCTCGACTTCTCGCTACTGGGTTCTCTAACGCTACGCTCTTCGACACTAGCTTCAACACTTAATGTAAAGTGAAGGAAAATTTGTCGAGATCGTCAATTCCGTCGCTGGCGCATCATCTCTTTCTCAACTCGTTATGTAAAAAGTAAATCTCGTTTATTTAATTCCTGCACTGTAAAAAATGCAGATGTAGTTGTGCTGTTATACGAACTACATTAATAACTCTGCCCTATAAAAATAATTAAATTGCCCTATAAAAAAATTGTCTTATAAAAAATTTAAGTACATTTGTAATTTATAATTTTTTATAAATTACAAATATACTTAATAAATTAACCTACGCATGAATTGTTTGAGGATTTTTGAAGCACTGAATTGACGATACAAATCTTCCTTTGCGCAGTTGACTTTCACATACGCGGCAGCATACTTAATATCAGGCTAATTAAAAACTATTCTTGAAGCATTTTCAAAGCTTCCAATAAATCTGTCGCGATCAAATAAATTTAACTTCATCAATTGCGCTTGAATTAGTTAAATATTACTAAAATAGAACTTGCGGAAAAACTTCAACAAATGTTTTTACACGAAACAGAGACAAGCGTCCCTCATTTCTTTCTCGACGAGATGTAACTCTCGCCCAACATATGTCACTGCGTATGTGGGTATAGAATAAATAATGGCTGTTTACTAATTCATAAGTGTGATTCGCGGAGAATTTTTGCGGAAACCACGTCGGCAAAATTTTCATTTCTCTTCGAGATAAGAGGTGAAGACCATCCGGAATGGATGTCGGTTTTCGCGGAAATGCATAGTGAAAGGGCAAAATGTAATAGCGAGGAGTTAATTAGATATATCCGCTCGTTCCTGCACAAAAGCCAAAGTATCCTCGAACAGTTGATAATAACGACAACGTTCGTGTTTACACTACTAAATTTCATCACAAAATTCCCCCTTACAATATCCGCATCGCGACCGAGGAGACGCGATATAGTCGAAGTATTATTATTAGATACACGAATCTGTCGCGAGCGTCGAGTCGAATTTATTATTCAACGTCTCCTCTGATTTCGCCTCTGATGATGTTTCGAAATTGGCGAGAATTCTCCGAAAGTGAAGTATCTATTTATGCAGTTGTCTTCTTAGGGCAATTAATTCTATCCGCGACGGTTTATTTTCGTGTGTTAACTCTCACGGCGGTCTAGATCGCCCGTCTATATCACGTCCAATTAACTTTTAATTCGCGTAAATACGCCGGGATACATTTGCGTTCATTACCCCGATGTTCATTATTGGCGACGTTGTTCGCTTAGGGCAATTGTGCGTTAACCGCGGAGGTTAACGCGCAGCCACCAAACGAAATCCGGACGCGTAATGCGTTCAAATACTTGATAATACCTATTAATTGCTTGACAGGTGCTGCGCAAGCCAATGTTATACCAGGCCTTCGGCCGTACTTATACCATCGTAGCGTAGCGACAACTGCCCGATGGCAAAATCAACGAAAGCTATGTATATTTGATCTGCTATTTTACGTATATAGTCAAATATTGGGGTGTACAAGTAGTTCGCCAATTAATGAACGAGTTTTTCGTAACATTTCGGACATGCTTGCGTTAAATAGAAAATTTTATCGAGAAAGCAAGCTGTAGCGTTAGCAACAATAAATTTGGAATTCGTAAAATGCTTTTCGTTCGAGATCGCGCGGGAACACGTGAAATAATAAAATTCATCGGTTCGTATATTTTGGATGCGCAACAGCAGCAATGAAAAAAAAACTGGATCTCTAAAGCGCTTCAATGCATTAGAACCGTGTTATCGGAAACTGCTCTCGTACAAAAAGCGATAAATAAAAAATCTATATATATATACAAAACGTGTACTAGGTATTTGCCGAGAGATGATTACATTCGATTTTCGAACAACGTATATAACAAAAAGAAAATTCCGATGCTACGTCGACGCGAAGCACGAGCGAAATCGTCCGTCCCGGTCGTTTTTCCTCTCCGACGATTATTCACTGCCGGGAACTCTAGACCGCTTTGTGTTACACAGAGGGAGAGAGAGAGAAAGAGAGAGGTCAAATCGATGCGCGCGTCTGGAGTTTCTCCAGCTTCTCTTTCCTCACGCGCGATCGAAATAGAAATTATTATACAGATTCTCTCGTTTTTCACTCGCCCGCCGACACCGCCGGATTATACAGGCCGGATTAATGGCCGGACGTTGGCGTAGTTTCGACTAATTACCCCCGTCTTGACCCTCGCCTTCGTAATCCTACCGTGACGTCAAACCCAAGCGGAGCCGAGCCCTATTGTTGCGCGTAACAAACCGTTCGCCCGCGAATTGTGTAATCGCGCAAACCGAGCAAAACCGTGTCCGACGTCACGGCCGGTTTCACGTCGGACACATCAAGTGGTTAGTTTAATAGTCAATAAACTTTATCCCGTTAGCAACTCGCCGTTCATTTATTACGTCAAACCGCGGCCTAACAAAACGCAGCTTGCATCCGCATCAAATGCAAATGTTGCACGTCATGAACGGAATTCGCATTCTGGGAAATACGTTTCTTGGAGCGTCTAGAATTGACCTCGGAAGTGATTGTGAGCTTGAAAGCCCATTAATTAATTCACTCATTTAAAAAGGATAACCAATGTTTATTTAATCCAGATTGTGCAACCGGATTTCTAAGCGTTGAAAAAGATTTATAACAAAGGCAATTTCTGCGCTAAAGCTCGTAATTAAATTTATTTCATTAACGTATCAGCTATCGGAGCGTCTCAGAGAAATCCAATTTTTTATCGTGTTGCATAACGCGTTCAGAACCGTGTACCACAATATAATTGTTTAAATTATCTTTTAATGTTTATAAAATACTGGAACATATTTCACGCGATATTAACACAATAAAATAAATAAATGACGTATGAATAAATAAATAATGTAAAGGTTAACAATATAACATAGTCGATTAACGCGCAATGATATTTTCTTTAATAATTAGATTATTTGTCATTGATTTTCTTTAGTAATTATTATAACGTATGTCAGATAATATCAGTTAATATCAACATCGATAATCATAATTCAAGATAAAATTGTTAACATTGTTAAAATTACAGAAATTTTTTAAAGTGAAAAGTAGAATTTAATGTATTTAGAGTATTGAAGATTAATTCGCTAATATTTTAATTTATAGTTGCTTTCTGCTCAAACGTACAATTATTAATGACTAAATATTGGCGTAATTATCGTTTCCGTTAGTTAGAATAATAAAATATAAATTGTGATTTTAAACAGAACGTTTAATTAACTTTTTAATTTACTTTTTCCTGTAAAATATTTTACATAAAAATTACGTATTTGCACAGTTTGTAGCATTCGTATTATAGAAAAATTATTAAATTAAATTAAAATTATGTCCTTGATAAAAGTTCAATTAAAAAATTTTTTTAAATATAAATATAAATATTTTTATACTGTACAGCTCTATGCATATTTATTTAAACAAAATGTATTTTATTCTTTTATTTAATTCTACTCAATCTTTATTTTATAATAATTTTTTTGTATTTTATTTTATAAATAATTCTTCTATAAAATAATTTCAATCTTCAGAAAGCAATATACAAAAAAATCTACCGTTAATTCGATCTCTTTTGCATAATAAATGCGCGTAAATGGCTTGCAAATAAAATCAGCATAATTTTGCCTTCTAAGTAACGTTCTAGCATATTTTAACATCCTGCGGGTTTTTCTATTCGTTAATGGAATAACTTTAAGCAAATCATCCTCAAGCGATTACACCTCGTCTAAGATTACAACGCTTACAATTCGGGGAATGGCATTTAAAGGAATTTAAAAGACCGTACTTCCCGGTCATTCGCATATCGTGCTGAAATGCGTACGGTTGAATGCCGTTATACGCGAATGTGTACCTCTCGCGAGATGAACCAGAATTCGAGGTATGCTAATAACCGATGGAAACGCCATTACGTTTGCGCCTTTACGTTTCCGCGTCGCCGTTTCCCCGGCGTGTGTGTATTCGACATTATTCGAATTTTGCGTTGCCGACGAAATCGCGTGTACGCGCAATATCCAACGACCTATCCCATACATGCATAATGGCGATTGCATCGCGCCCGTCCCATGTGTATAATGGAGTGCCAATATCGCACGGAGCACGGAATTTCGCGGGAACGAAAATGTCAGGCATCTGATGCCGCCGGGCCGGGCGTCGATCCGATCGCATTGTCGCAAAATCGGGAGCTTACGTCGCACCCTCGTCACATTCGCGTCTCGCGCAAATCGGTCCAGACGACCTTCGATCACGCACCCTTCGAGATTTGCAAATATTGTCAAATCCAAAAAGGATCTCAAAATAATCTTTTATTTTTTTTTTTTTAGTAGCAGGAGAAAATTTCTAAATTCTATCGAGCGTTCATTAGTCTCATGGATCAACCGGAGAGGGGCGGTTTCTCCGGTCTCCGCGGTTTAATTCGCGCGGAGCCGACGTGGCCGCGGGCGCGGAATTGCCCGCTGCGCCCCGGTAGGGGTGCGGTATACCTATGCGTTACCTGAGAGCACGCGTGCTGCGTCGGGTGCTGCGTGTACGCGGAGTTCGCGGCCGCGCACACGCCGGTGCCGGGAACCTTGAGCTGTTCCTTGTAGTCGGGCTGGTACGGCAGCAGCATGCGTATCTTGCCCCAGCGATTGAAGAACAAGGCTATCGCGCCCGCCCAGACTATCAGCACTAACACTACAATGCCCACCTCGACGCCGCGGATCTGCGAAACAAGCACAGTTGCGTCCTCTCGATTATCAGCTCGCGCCACGGGGACGCAATCATGGGAAGACGGGAAAGCCCACGATTATCGCGAAGATTCTCTCGTTGAGAAACTCGTCGAGGATGAGAGAAGGATATATTTTAGGATTTATTTATTTCATTCCCGTTGCGCGTTTATAAGTGGATGTATTCTGTATGACAAAAGAAATAATTAATACTTCGCCGACGGGGATGTGTAAAAACTATACGTTTTATATGGGCATAACGTATAGATTATTTGTTATTTATATTTGTTAATATTCAGTCATAAGATAGAAATCCCTCTCCTCACAAATTGACGTAAACACTTCTACATTTAACGAAAAAGTAAATTAAAAACAATTTTAATTATTAAAAAATAATATTCACTTTTATAACAATTTTAATATTTTGTTAGTCCTTTGACTTTTAGTCCTACCGTCTTTTCTAAGAAAATGTAATAAATCGAAGTTCATATTTATGGCTAAGGCTACATAAAAAAATCCTCTTTATAAAGATTTCTTCAAAAGTTTATGAATATATACTTTAAAAATTACAATGGCTTCTTAGAAGAGTTTTCAAGTCGAACGCACGAGCTGAAATTGCCCGCTGCAGGCGAAACCGTCAACATATCAATCCCAGTTAGCGAAGTATTAAGAAAGTTTCTTGCGCAGAGGGGTCGCAGTCCCTTCCCGTTTCGATTAGATTTCGGCAAAATTTCGTGGACGTATTACAGTCCCCTCGTTTCCTGCTTTGCCTTTGTTCTTTCCGCGGGATAAACTTATATCCCAAACTCACGATAAATCTTTTGCTTCCCTCTTCATTTACGAGTGACACTTTGAACCAGTTTTGCAGAAAGACACGCTAAGGATAACAGGTTGATATAAAAGTCCAAAGTGCATCGTGTGTTCAGAGAGCAAAATGTAGGTAAAAATAAATCTTATGCGAGAGTTTATTATTGACAATGGCATCACGAGGAATAACAGGTCTTCTAGCCAATATCTCCTGATACAGATAAAAGCATCCGCAAGTATCGAAATTTCTCTTCTACAAACTTTAATTCACAAAGATATTCTTTTCAAGGAGATATTTGTATTATAGATCGTTATAAGTATACAGTACGGGTCCGCGGAGATCACAAAGACTTAAACTCTCAAAGAATTGCGAATGTCAGTAAAAAGAAATCTTTATCCTTTATGATATACTTTAGAAGAAAAGAGTTTTTCAGAATGTATGTTGAATCAATACTGAAATCATTCACGTTAAATAAGAAAATGTTCCGTTCAGATTTTTCTGCAGAATAGCAAGTTTTTTATTGTATATTTTAATAAATATGCGTATCTATACGTGCATTATGGCTTGTTTTTCAAAATTCTCTTTATTCATTGTTAATTAATTAAAATTATTGCCTCCATATTTTTATCGTTTTATCCTTTTGTTAAAAGTTTCAGAAAAGTTCAAACGAAACCGTCAGTAAAATTTAATGTGGCTGGAGCAGCGTTTCATGTTTAATCTACTAGCGAATTGGTTTCATTTGTCTTTTTACTAATTATTGGAAAAAATCTTAAATCAGAGAACGGAAATGCGCGGTAGAGAAATCGTCAAAGTCAAACTCTCGCGCTGCTTTAAAGTGATACAGAAATGTCGATGTTGGAGAATGTATTCGAGATAAGATTGCGGCGAGATACACCGAAAGAGAAGCCAACTGTACATCTTTTATTCAGCCATATTTTTCTTCCGTTCGTCCATTTTCACGTTTCTCGAGTGCGCACGGATGATAAATTGATTTCTCTTCCATTGGAGCGAGCATTTCATCCTGTTTCGCTTTCGTGTGATATTTAAGAACATTTTCTTGCTCAACATGCTATAAGATTTACGTGTAAACTCAGACCACACGAGATTTCTCCAACTGTTCGCTGTTATAAATAAAATTAGGAAATTTCGCGCGTTTACTCAAGAAAAACGAAAATCGCGGAATTGCGATTTCCGACGAGTGACAAGGAAATTTGGTCCAGCCTTGTATTTTTAATTTAGATATCGAAACTTCTTTAAACATTTGCAGCAAATAGTTCTCGTATTTTTAATTTGAATATTCGAATCGACGCGAACTTGTGTATTATTTCGAAGGAAGGCAAACTTACTTGTATATACGGTTGAGGCTGTTGCGAGGACGGTGGTGGCGGAGGAAGAGGACCACCGGTTACCGCTGCATCTTGCTGCGGGGACGTGCGTGGTGGCTCTGAAAAACGACACGATCTCGTTTACACGATACGCCAAATCGCGCCGCATTAATCACCGCTATAGGTGACTTTTACATGGTACTTTGCGCGTCGGTGTCGGCGTCGGAAAAATAATACTGATAAGCTTATATTGCAAGATAATTTCTGTGCGCTGCGTATGATTGAAGAGACGACTATTAAAAAGGAGCTTAAGCAAGCAAAACAGAAAAAAACAGAAGAGATTAGTTTAAAACTTTCGAAAAGCTAATTTCTCACGGTAGGGATTTACTTTTCACGATTTTCCGACGTTATAAAAATAAAAGCTTGCTGTAAACTTGGATGGATTAACCGAAATCCGCTGCTACATTATATTTTTATTATATAAAACGTATACAGTAGCGAAAAATAGATAAAAGAGGTGTCTATTATATTATTCTATATTTTATAAAACTGCAAGTCATACCGAGTTAAGTTAAAATCCTTTAATTTTATGAAATAATCCAAAGTTAAGTTAAAATTAAATATTCTCAATTATTTTGTTTTTTCAAATTATTTTATTTTCATGGAATTGCTGAGAAACGAGAGACTAATTGTAGCTTGGTTCGTCCTTGTGGTTTTAATTAAGGTATTCGAAATTCGAAACTTCTTTCAATATTTGCATCAAATAGTTCAAATAATTGTAGTTTGATCCGTTCTTGTATTTTTAGTTTAGATATTCGAAACTTCTTTAAATATTTGCAGCAAATAGTTCTCGTATTTTAAATTTGAACATTCGAAACCTTTCTAAACATTTAACTCACTAAAATGTACCTCTAATTGAAAATATATTTTTTTAAATAAATAAATATATATACATATATATCGAGTTATTTAAATATATTCGTTCACTTGTGAATAAAATAGAAAAATAGAGATATTCCAGGAAAATGTATTGCGGAAATGTGTGCGCGAAAATGCCACACAAGTTACAATACGGCTTGCTGCTTCGTGCGAAGATTAATGATGAGATTTAAATAATAAGAAGTGAGGGGTGACTCTACGGAGTAAGCGTCATGATGGATGCTAATGATAACTACACAGATTACTAGAAAAACTATTTTCCTTTGTCAGAAACGCACCTGTCACATGTGACCGTGATGCCGGAGGGTAAGGCTTAGGAAGGCAAAGCTTACCGAGTGTACGGAAGACGATCGGTCGGCTTCGAAACTTCTTTCCGGCCCTCACGGCGGTTACGACCAGCTGATATTGCGTGTCAGCCCGAAGGCCGCTCAGGGTGACCGCTTCGCTATTTCCCGCGACCACCGCCACCACCCTGTAACTAACCACCTTGCCGTTATGATTCCGTATTTCACGCTCACGGTTGTTTTCGTGTCCTCTTGTGACCTTTGTTTCTAAGCGTTATCCGAGAGTTCTCCCTAATTTCATCTCATTGTAATTACCCGTGAGATAACAATTTCCGCGCGCGCTGGTTGAGATAGACAAATTACTAAATTAAATTATTAAATTATAACAAAGAGCACGTAACAGTAATTTTTCACTAGTAAGAACTTTTTATACGTTCTCCATGTACACGGTATTTCTTTATAAAAAGAATACTACTTCTTTCTACTTCTTTTATAAAATTAAATTAGATTGAAAATTATATGGAATATATATAAATCTTATATATGGATAGATATTATATAAAGAATATATAAATCTTTAATTTAAAAACTGATAGATATTATCTCTGTGAAACTGGATGTAACACGATAAAGTATACTATAATAATAATAAAATTTATATGATATGAATATTATAATTACATATATCGTTGTTAGTAGTGCCAACTACTTCGTGCTGATATCTCGATCGTTACACAGAAATATCTAAGCGGTTTACACTTTCGGTGAAGCTGTTGTGACAACGGATTTTTAAGCGTGAGTACACATATTTATTAATCATAAGTAGCTGGCAGTCAATTGGCACATCAATGGTTCTTCGCGATCTGAGGAATACACCCAACGATTATCGATAGTCGCAATATTAACTTCCTGTCAGGCGGTCCGATCTAACATGCCACCAGTGATCACACACATATACACGTTCAATAAATCTCGCTTCGTTCCTACATTATTTAAGAGGGATAGCATACACTTTTGGGGAATTTATACACTTCTCAAACAGAACACTTTAATTTGTAGGAAATGATAGGGGAAGCGGGGAAACTCGTAATGCCCGTGTAATGTCCGTTTTATCGCGATGTTAATACGATACATTTCTCGCGTTACACTGCAACGTAGTTGTAGTCGGAACTACGTCGCAGGACAGACTGCCTGTTTTCGCGCTTTGCTTTTCGATAAGCCGAGCCGATCATCCCTCTTTCACGTGATTTTAGCGTGTGCCTATTTACCGTCTATGGCTGCGTTCCATTGTAACGCTCGCAACGCTCTTGAAATCATTTCATCCTTGTTGTTTATCAAACATGGTAAGCAAGGACGAGTAACGCTCACGAGCGTTGCGAAATGTTAAATGGCACGCAGCCCATGTCACCTTCCTATCACGTGTTTATTATCTACGTCTCTCATATTTATTACCTATATATTATACAATAGATGAATTTAATCGATTTACTATCTAACTGATAGTTAGACGTATGAAAATCCATTAGCTTTGATAACGTAATTGACGGGCCTCGATATAGGATGTCACAATGCGTTATATTATAATGCGCAGCCATGGCGATAATAAAAGAACTCGTATCACGTTAATAAAATGGATTACGGCAAAATGAGAGGAGAAAGAGCGGACAATAGAGTAAAGGAATTAAAACGGGATTTCTTCCATTCATTTCACATTTATAACAGCTACATCAAGGAAGCACAAAGGTAAAGCCATTTTTTCTGCTCAAAAGCATTTCCCAAGTGAATTATGATAATACATTAATTTTCAGCAAGCGATTTATAGTGGCAAAGGAAGTATAAACTTCTCTTTCAATTAATTATTTCTTATAATGTTCTGAATAATATTATCGTGTAAAAAGATTTGTTTTTATGCAATGTATAAAAAAAGTATCTTCTTAAATTCATTCTATTATTTATGATATAAATTAATTAGTCCACAAGACATTACCTTATCAATATTTTCAGCTTGAATTTTTTCTTCTGTAAATTTTTCTAAATAAATTATATACATATTTTAAATGACTGAATAAAATATCCTGCTACAGCACATATTAATTAATGTGCTAATTTATTATATAAATTCAACTTATTTTAATTAACGATGAATAAAAAGCAAGACAAGTGAAATGTTTGATGCGCATCGTTATTCGATGGAGCGATTATCGTAACTCGAGCAAGGATGGGCATTGAATTTCGATACGTTGCCGCCGTGACGTAAATGGATCAATGATTTTTGAGAAACCTTAATGGCAAAGCACGATAAAATCGTTGTGATATATAATAGTTTTGTAATCCACAATAAATACAAAGTAGCATTAAATACCGAAAGTCATTCCAGATCTCATAATCGATCTCTTGAAGCTGTAAACCACGATGAAGTCAGTGAACTTTAACAGATTAAACTTTACGAATCTAAATAGATGACAGAATGATCTATCAGTTCACTTAAAAATGTTCGTACTTTAATAGAAGTGTGTCATCTATTTAAGTTAACAGCGTATATTTAAAAGTTGTGAAGGCGTCCAATTAATCTTTCCTTAATTTTAAAAACCGTTTCCCGTTTGCAGGAATCGTATTGCGTCATTTTTATGCAAGAATATATCAACTTCTAATCAAAATATTAAGCTGACCATTTTATGGATGAACTTTACGAATTTTTCTTTCGCAGGATATCTCTTCGTGCTACCTCGATACTACCTCGAGAATTCAGAATGCAATCTATGTCCTTGTGAAAGACGCGAAGCGGAGGCGCTCCTCTTTCAACAAGGTCATTTTCTCGTAGATTGTATCGAGGGTTATCAAAGTGCAACTTCGATTTATCGTTGTTACGCTTCGACAGATCCGTGCACTCACACACAGAAAACTCGACTTCACGTTACACACAAGTAAAGTTACGGTAATTGAATTGATATTAAATGTACCGTTAACATGACGGAAGATCAAGGGATTATATCGGAATAATCTCTGGAACGCGCCGAAAGTTCCGCTTTGCAGCTTGTTATTAGATCGAATTATTATCATTATTAAGATTGCTCGCGTAAACATTGTAGCGCGCATCTCTGTATTATATTTTAGATACAGTTAAAACATATAATTCGCCAACCGCAATTTGTTTGTGGAATTTATGTATAATTTTAACAGTAACAGGACACAAAGTTAATAAAAATATTGACGTACGCGCTGCAAGTCAATATTAATCTAGTTAATATTAATTCAGAATATTTATTTGTATTATGAAGAATCTTAAATTGTTTTTAAAATATTAATTACATGTTATTAATTATCATCATTTTGTCAAAATAATTACTATTGCAATGTTATAATTTTTAATATAATACGCGCGTTTTCTGATTTTAATATTAGTTTGACAACAAAGTAAACCTGAAGCCCAGGACATCGCTTCATCCTAAATAATGTTGTTTCTTTAATTACCTACAAGCTATTTACGTAATCGAATATGCACAAATATTAAGCAGTATTTCCCAGAAACAGAAAATGTACTGTGCATATACATATATGCGTCGCACGTTGTACAAAATGCATTTCACGAACTGTACAGACACAATGCTGCTCCGGAATGTCAGGAATAATGTAAAACTCTTCTAAAGCGAACGGAAGATAGAATAGGAACAGTTCTCGGTTGCAGAAAGTTGGACCCCGCAAATCAGTTACAGCGCACGTTTCCAAGCAAGCAAAATTTTCCAATTGACCTATTTAATATTGCCCTCCCCCC